AATTTCTGAAATCCATACACCTTGGCAGAAGCGTCTGGCATCAGAGAAGGACTAAGTTGGTTTAAGGACATACGCAACGTAGTTTGAACTTTATTGTATTTTTCCCTGGAGTTGAAGAGTTCCAATACTTAAAGGCACTTTGTCCTACATTTTATTGTCAATATATGCTATTGTACACTTCTTCTAAAACAAGTTTGGATAAACAAAACATTTAGAATATATGTTTAGTAATTTTTGTATATTTTTCTTTGAATTATACAAGAATTTTCATCAATTGATATCTTTTCAAAACCCCTGGTAACACATGCTAATTTTTTGTCTACGAACATCTGATGGTACTGTTATCTTAAATTAAGAATATCTCGAAAAATTATCAGTAGGTAAGGTACGTTGCGTATGTCCTTAATTAACACTGAAAATATTTTACACATTTAAAAATCTTTTTTCCTAGAAATCTAATTATAATCAGCCCCCAGGGTGGGCTAAGTATTGGGAAAAAAAAGAGGCGTAATAACGCCTTTTTAAAAAGCGTAATAACGCCTTTTGGAAAGGCGTAATAAAACCTTTTGGAAAGGCGTAATAATACCTTTTGGAAAGGCGTAATAACGCCTTTTAGAAAGGCGTAATAACGCCTTTTGGAAAGGTGTAATAACGCCTTTTAGAAAGGCTCTAAAAGGCGTTATAACGCCTTTGGAAAGGCGTAATAACGCCTTTTGGAAAGGCGTAATAACGCCTTTTGGAAAGGCGTTATAACGCCTTTTAGAAAGGCGTTATAACGCCTTTTAGAAAGGCGTAATAATGCCTTTTGGAAAGGCGTAATAACGCCTTTTGGAAAGGCGTAATAACGCCTTTTAGAAAGGCGTAATAACGCCTTTTTTCGCGTTATAACGCCTTTTGGAAAGGCGTAATAACGCCTTTTAGAAAGGCGTTATAACGCCTTTTAGAAAGGCGTAATAACGCCTTTTGGAAAGGCGTAATTACGCCTTTATTTGCGTTATTACGCCCTTTTCCGCGTTATAACGCCTTTTCAAAAGGCGTTATTACGCCTTTTTTCGCGTTATAACGCCTTCTGAAAAGGCGTTATAACGCCTTTTAAATTTTTTTTTACCGTAGTTTGATCCTAATAGGCTTTCGTAGTTTTATTATACGGTCTGGATTTGAATAAATAAGACATTGAAGGCTGCTTTTGTCGTAGAAAAATTTTAAAAAGTCCAGATTACAAGTTATAACTTCCTTGTTTTCCGTTCACTGTGTGTAAGACATCGAAATATTTGGAAAATAATCCTGCGATAGACTAGTCTAACATTTTTTCTGCTCATTTTTAAATAACTCAAATCAGTCGAACTTCGTAAGTAGGCTTAGACATGATTAGTTTTTTAAAACTATGGTACAAGTTACGCTCCCTCGTTTCATTATGACCACGCCATCGGGTATCTACACATTACCAACAATATTATATGGGGTAGCTACTACTAAAAACCTTTTAAAGGACAGCAAGACCGTGACAAGGATGACAAGAACAACAAATATACAAGCCTAATCAGAAATCAAGTTACTTTTTTTCCAATTTTGATCCCTTGGGATAGGATTGGAACACAATCGGAGCAAATATATGTAAATATTTTGGGAAAATACTATTTTTAAAATCTTCTTGACATTTGAAATTAGTGTTATGATAATCATATTACATATAGTATGAAAGTATCCTTAGTAGTTGTAAATTTTATGTTCAAATCAAGCTATGCCTCAGGGGATAGGGTGGAGTACGAATAGGGATTGAAGCCCCGGTCCTGACAAACCTGATTCGATATAAATTAGGTAACAATTGTTCCTTTGCAAAGCACTTGGCACTCTTAAGTGAAAGTTTCAGGTTTTTCAGATGAGACCATGGCAGGTGTTGACATGCTGAAGAACCTTCACTGCTCAATGGCCATGCGAGCTGAGTAAAGGTCCAAATTTGAATCAAAACCCATTAATCTGGTATTGTCACATGATGAGTGAAAAAATCTGGCAAGGGACTACAAATAAGGAATCACAATGTCTATGTATTTATATCTATTACAGGTCTCATGAAGTCTATCTATATAAGTTATTAAGGAGGACTTACAACTGTAAACATGCATTAACCAGCACAATCAAAACTAAGCGCATTCTATCACATCAACCGTTTAAGCAATTGAAAATTTGCTTAAATCGAATTGTATTTGTTTAAAGATATGTTAACATGAATTTGTGGACAAGGAGTAGCAAGAAAGACACTAATATGATATGGATACCGCTAAAATAAGTATGTTTACAGTATGTTTGTCTCTGGTGGAAATTACAATTGTAAGACTAGCCAAGTCTGTCTATCGAAGTACCCACCATCTCTGAATGAATGTACAACACTACACGATATCAATTTATTGAATGACAAATTGTGTTCCATGACTGCAACCATGTTGCAAGGGATTGCTCTCCTTGTTGAAAAATAATTGTAGACAAATCACTAGAAATGATTAAAATGATACTTTGAAAGCATAAAGGTACAACAAAGATTGGCAAAGGGCAAATTTACAAAAATACATGGGGTACATTAAATATCTTCATTTATTGTTTTCCACATAAGAAAATCTACATGTCTTGAAATAAAAAAAACTTAAGAGATTACTACATGTAGAACTCCTCAATAATCTTCTTCACAATTTTTTCCGACATCATGTCTTTTATAAAACTTTCAGGAATACGTACATGAGCACATGTACCAGTTTCTACAAACCCTCAATAGTTGATTTCTTCAATACCATAACTTTGAAATTGTATCAACAAACAAAATGATGCCATTTTTCTCTATCTTATTGAAAAAAAACCCATACACTAATCTTTCGTCTATCCAATGTTTGTCTTAGAACATCTCCAAGGAAAGTCACTCTCAAGTTATATTCATAAAACGTTCAAGAGTTGTCACTAGGGAACCTTAACACTTTTACAGTGCCTGCGTCCCGATTTCTTTCTGTCATACGTGTCTCTATCATCACAGGCATAAGCCAATAGAGGGCGCTTTGGGTGCCAAACAACGATAAAGGTGGGAGCTGCACAAGTAATCTCTGTGATTTTCTACCCCATTTATTGAAGGATTATTTATAATTCACTGATCATTAAATTTTATTTTAACGAAGAACAAAGGCTGTTGAGCATTTAATTTGCATCAACTTCTATGAAGTCTCTTAATTCACTAACGTTATACATGTTATATGAATAATTTATACAAATACTGCAGTTGAACTTCGGTAAATCTCAAACACGGATATCTCGAATACCACGGATATGTCGAAGTCCTAATCACGTATTTCTGAAGTATTTTATCCTCGATATCTTGATCCCTCTGATATCTCGTAGTTTTTTCTGGGTCCCATCGACTTTGAGATAACGAGGTTTGTCTGTATGAATGGTTGAAATCATTGTAGAAAAACTTGGAGCGGGTTATTTTTTTTTCGTGCAATGTTGCAGACATTCATGCCCTATTTACAACAAAAGTGTTTGGATAAAAAATGCATTTGTGGCTGATCTGAACTACATGTAAGTATCCTTGTTATCTACAGTATATAGAATCTTGTGTATTTGATCATTGATGACAAGATTGAAACTGAACATTACAATTGGTAATTACATATTGTGCATGAACATTTTGTGCATGATACATGGGGGATACGTAAAAGGTAAATTCTACTTTTTCCTAGATTCTGCTTTCAAAAATCAATGAACTCAACACAACCTGAGCATCCACTGCTAACCTGATGACAGGTTGTAACACTGGTGAGAGATTTTGAGATGTCTATGGCTCACAGAGGTCGATTCAGTTAAATTCTGACTGAATCTTTGTGATATCTATAATCATCTTAGTTATTTTCTGTTATATCTATATTGACCCGAGTCAATCTGTGAGATATCTATGTAAAAAGTGAAGATAACGAACAGTGATCAATCTAAAAAAAAATCTATAAACAATACAAATATATGAAAAGGACATAAAACACGGACCCCGGGAAATTGCCAAAGGTGGGATCAAGCCCCGGGGCCATAAAACTTAGACGAGCTCACTTTTGATCTCAGTCTCACTTTTCCACTATTAATACCTTTGGTAAAAGTGAGACCGAGATCAAAAATGAGCTCGTCTAAGTTCTATGACCCCGGAGCCAGATGCCTAGAAGAATTAAGCATCCCCTGACCGGTCACACCCGCCATGGGCCCTATGTATTGATCAAGTAGACGGAACTTTCCCTAGTCAAATTCAGTATAAAAACAGAATGTTAATGTTAACATATGTCAAACTCTGTGATATCTCTGATTATCTAAATCAAACTCTGTGATATCTCTGTTTACCTAAGTCAATCTCTGTGATATCTCTGTTTACCTAAGTCAATCTCTGTGATATCTCTGTTTACCTAAGTCAATCTCTGTGATATCTCTGTTTACCTAAGTCAATCACTCTGATATATCTGATTACCTAAGACAAACTCTGTGATATCTCTGATTACCTAAGTCAATCTCTGTGACATACATCTCTGATGTCACCGATTACCTAACTCAGTCTCTGATTACCTAAGTCAAACCCTGTGATATCTCTAATTACCTAAGTCAAACCCTGTGATATCTCTGATTACTTAAGTCAATCTCTGTGATATCTCTAATTACCTAAGTCAAACACCATGATATCTCTGATTACCCATATCAATATCTTTGATATCTCTAATTACCTACGTCAAACTCTGTGATATCTCTGATTACCTAAGTCGACATCTGCAATCAAAATAGAGGGGTTAAATAAATATAAAGTAAGTAAACACGTTCAACGATCAAAACACAGAGGACAAATGCACGGGTAAAAAAAAGTAGTCACCTGAAACAATCACAACAGAGTAGTAATCTTCAACAATCACAACAGTAGAGTGACATGTACGGGGCACAAAGAAAGTAGTTACCTATAACAATTACCTGTAACGATCACAACACAGGGTTTATAAATGTACTGGGTATAAAGTAAGTAGACACTCACAGCAGGTGATTAAATATACAGGCTACCAAAAACAGTAGTCACCTACGAAGACATGTCAGATGAACAGGGTACAGAAAGTAGTTTGACAACAGGGGGTTAAATATACTGGGTACCAAAATGTATAAATGTAGGACAGGTTATCAATAGTAGAAACCAGCATGAGTCAAAACATTGAAGAGAATTGGGAATCAAACCTAAAATATCTTAACATACATGTGTATATTACAAAAGCTGCACGTAAATCTGCTTTCACTTAATCAATGCATAACCTTAAAGATCAAAATGTTCAATAATGATTATCTTTGTCTTAGATCTACTTAAATGGTCAGCTTCATCAATAAGACAGTAGTGCTCACATCGCCAACACTATCGTCAAGATCGTGGACACCCGTCAGAGTCAGGCGTACAGTATATAGACCATAGGATCGGGGGGACAGTGTTCTGACGTCGTGAAAACCGTCCATAATGTCCCGGATGCAGGTGACCTTGAAGACCCAGAAGAAAACCCATCAGCTGTCAGGAGTCACGAAGTGTACTCTTCTTCACCCAAACGTATGGTAAGGTTATTGTGTACATTAAAACTCAGTTTACATACTGAGGAATCATTTCAATTTTTGGGGGTCAATGTTCATGGGCAACTAAAATTTTATTGATTCTTGGGGACGTAATTTCATAGGTAATTCATATAATGAATTAGTTTGTTGACAAAATAATTGTTTGTGGGAATGTAAATTTGTGGTTAAGGGAAACCCATGAAATCCACGAACATTGGTCCTCCACGAACATTGATGATTCCACAGTATGTAATGTGGGTCATATCTGTGTATGTTATGATGAAAGAAAAACTTTTCCTCCTTGACTGTCAATATGATTTTGTAATACATGTACATGTATATGGGGTCAATGTTAGTGGCCACGTCAAATTCAATTGATTCGTGGGGACGTGATTTCGAGGGTAACTCTTATATACAGAAGATTCAATGAATAAATATGTTGAAAAAATAACTGTTCACTGGGATGTAAATTCATGGATAAGGATGATCCACGAAATCCATGAACATTGGCCCCCCATGAACAATGATGATTCCACAGTATGTTATATGGTTCATAACTGTGTATGTTATAATGAAAGAAATACTTTTCCTTTTTGTGATCTGGTAATACATGTACATGTATCTCTACACATTGATTGGATGATTCGCGATATTTCTAATTTGTTTTTGACAGTTTGCGGGAGTGTATGACTTTGTACCATATCCTGGTAAACATGGCCGACTTGAACTTCCATTTCAGAGAGGGGAGGGAATCCTTGTTTATGGGGAGGATTTTAATATGGAGGAGTGATTTTTCCGTACTGTTTGCAGATCAGTTTTATTTTTTCACATCATAACCAATAGCCATTTATGTTATTTTTTATATATGTCATTATCTCAGTGTTGGAAATCTTGCCCATGAAATTAGAATTGATAGTCATTCACATAATTTCATAAGATTGCCTTGATTTGAAAATAACATCGCAATAACAGATATTTACTCGAGGATGCTTGAGAACAATGTCATGTGAATTAATGCAGTGTATATTTGTTTACTGTTAGGAAAGGAATAGTGTACAGTCAAGTCTTATTCAACTGAACACTTGTGTTCCTGAGCAAATTATCCAGATTAATGAAGCATCCAAAATTACTTATTTTGTTCCCCACAAATGTCGTCCAGAATGTGAAGCGTTGGGGTTATTCACATCCAGATTAATGAGGTTTCACTTTATATCGAGTTCAAGGGTTTGGAGGAGAAATCCTTTTTGTATTCCTATGTGAAACTGGTTCTTGGAAATGGAGGGATAAATTTTTTTGATTTCCATAATATTACAACCAAACTTGTTGAGCAGTATTTACAGTATATATAAAATTTGTGGTCTAATTTTTAGATCAAAGGACGTCGAGGGTTAGTGCTTGGTTTTCTTTACAAAAACAGGTGTTCTGTCCTTTCTAAATTATACACTTGCTTAAAATTCAATGACTTTGAGTCAACTGTAAACAGACGAAATGCTTGTGGAAAATCTGCAAGAAATTAGAAGTCAAGTTATATTGCGGGTTTACAAATTTTTAATGACTTTCAATACACCAATTGAATAAGTTTTTATTGGACTCCAAGAAAATTATATGAGATATAAAGATGTAAATATGGAGTTTAACTATTTAATTTTCAACATAGGTATCTGCAATTTACCCGCAGGAAAAATATTTAACGACAATGAAGTGATAGTGAATTGAAATCATTTTGCTTACTAAAATGCGAAAAAACCGTGCAAATTACATGTTTTCAACAATTCAACTAGGCCAAATTGTGATCTCATTCTGTGGTATTTTTATTCAATTAGAGTATTCTGCCCCTAGATCTAAAATGAAAGAATTTGAAATCCATAGTTTTTTATTCAACTTGTAATGAATTCAGGCATGTGTTGCATTTTAATAGACCAAGATAAATTAATTGAATACTTTATCTGCATGTTATTTTCTCACAATTTAACAATAGTGATTTCTATTCATCAATATTCATTATCTTTAAACATTTTCCCTGGGGGTAAATTCAAGGTACCCTATGCTGAAAACATAATGGATATGCCCAAAATTTACACCCTCATACAATGCAATTTTGTCAATGAATAAAAATATTTTGTTTAAGTGTATATAGGGACCGTAACAGGGAACAAACTTGAGTAAAAATTCAGTTAAGTTTAACTCTTCACATAAATTTGAAGAAAAAAACCTTCTTGTGTTTGAATCTAAGTACAGTACTAAATAAACTTGCAGGGTGTAAATCATGTTTAAAATAAAAATGAAGATATTCATTCCAAATTTCATTTTTTTACTCAGTCTGTGTTCAGTTTATGGTTCTAGGTATGGACTTTGTGATACATATTTCAGAAATCCTGAATGGTTTTAAGGTATCATGTGGAAATTACAATTTGAAAGACCATTTAATGATCAAAAGTCTGTGTGCTTTACCTGTTCTAAAACTAAAGGTGAAACACAAATTTAAGGGATTAAGGAAAATGTTCACATATTGTAAAATACCGTTGAACAAATGAATTTGCATTCAAATTCAATGTGAATGAATTCCATAAAAAATTTATGCATTTTTTTTTTACACTGTGTATTGAAAAACTTGGACATGTCCTCCATAATATCCCACCCACATTGTAGACTTGTATAGGGATAATGAGAATGGACGGTTCACTCCATCTTCAGTCGGTATAAACTTCATGAACTTCCCATCAGGACTCAGCAGATGGATCTGATTGTTGTAAGGGTCGGTAACAAGGATGTTACAGAGGGAATCACACACTGCATTAGTTGGTTTAAATGCCTTTGTCGGGTTCTGTCCATGGTAGACAGACTCTGTACGACCAAAGGGAGATATAATCATTAGATTACCTCTATTGGTACCTGTACGGTTCACAAAACATATATCACTGTTACTGTTTTGGTTGACTCTGACTGGATATGTAAACAGTCTGGTCTGACCGTCCTCCTGGTACTCATACTCACGGATGACATCACCTGTCACTGTGATGTGTCTCACCAGACGTCTGCTGTGTGACTCTAATTTGTAATAATCTATTTCCTTGTCTCTCAATGTGACCAATAGTCCACAGTCCACTGACTGACAGATTCCTGCTGGTATCAATGGATCTGTACTGACGACTGTAGAGACAAATCCTGATGGTGACAGACTGCTGATGGACTTAAGCTTGTTGCGATAGTCAGTGAAATAAACATCACCATTACCAGTCACACACATATCATTATGAGTGCTTTTATATTTATGTTCTTTAACACCTTTTGTGTTGACTTTTTCTATATATCCTGATCCAAGTTTATATATGTAACATTGGTTCTCACTGAATGCCTCCAACACAGATAATCCTGTATTTCCATATCGAAATGCGTGTTTTTGAGTCACACCAATATCAACTAAATCCAAAGTTTTTCCAACCTAAGATATAAGTAAGTTATCATTGTTTTCACCTCTAGTGTATCTCACTGAATGTTCAAAGTTTGTCATATGAATCTCAAATTCAGACAGCATTCTTGTCAGTTCTCTGTGGTTGTCAATCAAGCTGTAATCTGTAATCTGACATGGTGCTGTTGTTCTCCTCCATGAATATCACTGTGTCGGCAATTCCTCTCTTCTTCTTGTCTAACTCAGATTTCACTCTGTTCAGTTGTTCATTCTTTTGAACCAGATTGTCTTTTAGTGTTTTTTCGTGGCAATTTTTTTATATATGTCATTCTGGCCATTATCTCTTCATAATGCTTCTGTAGCTTTTTAATCTCAAAGTCGCACAGTTTTTTATTTTCTGTGATCTGTTTTGCTATCTTCTCCTCAATTCCAGGCAGATCCTCTTCTTTGATCCTTCTAAGAAATGTAAATGTAAATAGACCTCTCCTTCTTCGGTTGGCTGCTGTGGTTAGGGTTTTCCAATCATGATCTCTATGATTTGATTTTGCGCATTTGTCACAAATAAATTCATCACAGTCCTCACATATCATATCAATATGTAATAATTCATGTGACTGACACATTTTAACGTGCACCAGCGGAGAGCCTAATGGATATTCTTCCGAGTTAATTTCAGCCATGATTGTGGGGTGAAGCCAATTTGGTAATGTCCCAGTTTTTAATGTGCTAGTTCGTGCATGTTGGACAACTACCTGGACTGTGAAGCTGGACTTTAAGTTTAACAAAAGACATCTAAATGTGCAATGAATTGTAAACATACAGGAGTCTACTGTGACATTAACATTACATATTGAATTGAACATAAATGTGATACAAGTACAGTTTTTCAGATGTTCAAAAATGGTTTCAAGGTCATTTCTGAATTGATATTTTGAAAAATCTGTAATTTTTTCTTCTCCAGATCAACTAGGTCAATTTCTAACAAACTTATCACAATTGATATTACATGAAATGGGAAATTCATTGTAAGTTTGTTGAAATGAAACGCCACAGCCCTCTTTCAAGGAGCGATTTTTTTAAATGGGATAATTTGGTGGCATTATCTAAAAATCTTCTAAATGCCATTAGGCAAAAATGATGAAACTTATATGCAAGCTAACTGACATTGTGTACATTCAATTTTAATCAGTTCAGCCCCTGGATGTAAAGGATTGGGCCACTGTAGGGATTCAAAAAACAAAAAAAAAATCTTCTCAAGAGCAACAGGTTCCTGGTTAGTTATATTAAAAAGCAAGCTTCATCGAGTTATGCAAATTGAAGTTTTTACAAATCATAGTTCCTTGGGTGGTTTCTTGATTGGAAGGTCATGGCTCAAGCCACAGCCATGACAAACATAATTCAATATAAAATAAGAAACAAATGTTTCCAAGCACTTGCACTTGGGAAGTTTATATACAGAGTGGGGTATGGGATTTTTTTTTTAAAAGTTTGTTATATGTTATTTTTTATGTATGGTATGGTTAGATGGTGCACTGACTGTGTTTATTAAAGGACCCACCATCTCTGAATGAATATGCAACACAGCATAATATCAATTTATTGAGTGACAAATTTTGTTCAACGACTGAAATCATGTTGCAATCATGTTTCAATGAATTGCTCTGTTCTGCCGTGTCCTTGTTGAAAAATTGTAGACAAATCATCAGAAATGGTTAAATTAATACTTCGAATTTAAAGTATAAAGTACTATAAAGATATACATAAAGACATGGGATACATTAAACACCTTTTTTTTTTTTAATGTTTTCTACATAAGAAAATATAAAGGTTAGGCAATTTTGTGAATAAACATGTACTAGTACATGAGAGTGCTCATGAATAATCTTCTTTAAGTATTTTGCCAAAATCATGTCTTTAATAAACGTTCAGCAATATGTAGACGTGTTCCAGTCTCTGCAAATTCTCAGAGGTTGATTCCTTTAATACCATAACCTTGATATTATATCAACAAACAAACAGATGCCATTTGTCTGTATCTTATAGAGAAAACCACTGATCATTCACCTGCCTCATGTTTATCTTGCAATATCTCCAACGAAAGCCACTCCCAAGTTCTATTTATAAAATTTTCAAGAGTTATCGCTGGGATTCCAAACACCTTACCCGTGCCTACCTCTTGATTTCTGTCGTACGTGTCTCTATCATCACAGGTATAGGCCAACAGAGGGCGCTTTAGGTGTCATGCAACAGTAAACGTAGGAGCTTCACACTTATCTCTGTGAATTTCTCTCCTGCTCATGGCACCTGGTCCCACCTCTGATGTTTTTGGAGGTCTGTGTTTGCTCTGAATATGAATTTTCGG